GCCCCCCCCCCCCCCCCCCCCGCCGCAGTGCGATCGCCCCGCAGCAGAACGTGTGATACAGTAATGCCCGCATTCCGGTCCGGTGCAATCGCAAAAAATAGTGCATGCAAGCACCTTGCCAGTAATGGTAATTAATGTGGGGGGGCTTGGTATCAACCCAGTCGGCCTAAGCAAACCTGTGACTGACACACACCCTCCCAGCTCATTCAGTTGTAGCAGGGGCATTCCCTGCCCCTTTGTGACATGTTGCTGATTAGCCTGAGAGGAGAGGGGGGGTGTCAGCCACAGTTATGCATGGCTATTTGCCAACAGACATGCTTGGCAGCACACCACAACACATGGGATTACATTGCTGTGTGCTGTAGTGCGCTACGTTACACAAAATAGCACCTTTTTTAGTGTATTTAAATAAATGGTCTGCCTAATCCTAATGCAAATTAATGTTCATGCATTACTGCATCACATGTGTGTGAAGCCCGCCTAAGTGTTATTAAAACACACCTTTCTGTTTGATTTTGCATTTTCTGTCATTTTCCAAAACTGACAAAAAGATATCATTACCACTTGTCTGCGTTGCTAGAAATTACATGTCAAGCATTCTCTGCAATAGTTTTCATTTTTGGTGAAATGATCTCTAATGTCTTTTTAGGATTGTCTACACCATAGCGTTGTGGTAAAAGCACAAAGACACCATGCATTTAGCACTCACTATCGCACAGCACATGCAGCCAGCAGTATTGTGTACTGGTGTGTTGCATTGCCATTCATTTAAATGGCATCCCAACACACCACCTGGTGAGTGCGTGTTGCAGCACAGGGCAATGTGCAGTACCGCAATACTGTGTGGTGCAGTAAAAAGGTAGGGCATGCACTACTTTTTTTCCCACCACAATGCAAGGTATCAGGGTACCACATGTTGCCCTGTCAGGAGGTGCATACCTCACATTTAGCACAACACTATGGTGTAAATAAGCCTTTAATGAGATATTCTGCATTTTTTCTTATTAGAATACAGAGACTAAACTAGCTAGTTATAATGATAGCTGACTCAAATCACATCGAGAAAAGGAAAACCATTTCAAGAGTAAAAGATCTGAATCTGCAAAAAGGTTTGCTAAAATCCTTATTGTGTATACTGTATATATATCAGGACAGTTTATGTTTCACCAAAGATGTGGTTACATTTAATCACCCATTTGTCTCCAGCAAACTATAAAAAATGACTTTTTGCCCTGTATCTGATTGGATGTTAATGCAAACTAGTAAATAAATGGAGTTTTGCACTGTATAGCCCTTTTATAATATCCAAATAACCCTCGTCTTGGGTGCCAGAGGACCTTGTCCCATCGCTGCTGTGAACCCTTCATAGTCTGCTGCAATTAAAGTAACACTAAACTCAGGAGTTAAACCTTAAAAATGCATTCAAGTACCTTAACTGTTAACAAAAACATATCTTATTTGTGTATCTCTCAGCTGTAGATTCTAAAATCATCTCTGAATTCATGCTGGCACTGTCCTTCCTTTTCTAAGCTCACTCCTGTGATGAACTACAATCTCGGGTTTAGTTTACTAATTTGTATTGAGATTGTAGTCCATCACGGGAGCGATCTTGGAGCGGTGGCTACTTTACAACATACACAGGGACCATGGGGAACAAAAGTAGCCACCCTCCAGAAGGAAGGACAGTGTCAGCATGAATTCAGAGATGATTTGAGGATTACCTGTAGACACTTTTCCACGACAAAAGGAAGATTGTAGAGATGGTTAAAGGTTTGTCCACCCAAAAGTAATATTTCAAATATAAGTATATTCCGTTGCGCTCAGCCATCTAGTGGATACTAGTGATGCGGCTAAGTAAATCCCACTCTCCGTGTCACATTTATAAATCATCTTATGCAATTATTGGGAATACCCAAAACTCTGATGTGGGCGGGAACAAAGCTAGGAGCTACGGCATGGAGATCTCACTGCTGGAGACCCCTAAGAGACATGAGATATAGATATACACTAGAGAGGGGCCTGTGTTTGGTGTGAACCTAGTTCGCCCAATCCCGCTCAAAACTGTGGCTGTCACCCCTTCCTCAAGACCCGATGAGTTATGGAGAGGTGCATTCCCCTATACGCCACAAAGGGGCAGGGGATACCCCCACCGCAACTGCCACCACTGATTGAGTCAGAAGGAGGGGTCATGGTCACAGTTTTGAGCGGGCTTGGGTGGCCTGGTTATATCGCAAGTGAGTTGCGCTCGGTCTCGACAAATAAATAAAATAAAATATGTGCACTCTATAGGACGTGAAGAAGTTACTAAGTTCAGATTCTACTGTGAAAAAATTATAAATCTCGGTAGTCACTACCTCGGTAATAATTGTGCAATACAACAATCAGGTGTGGGAAAAGGGTTTTCAATCACCAGCCGGTGTATAGATTAGGTGTTTCTGTGTACTAGGTGTACATGGTTTGTCCAAACAAACCTCTTAATGATGTGACAATCTATTCAAAGACATCAATCAAAATATAAATGACTCGGTGTCACAGATTGGTCGTGTATAAGAAAAACAAATTCTAAAATCCCAATCTCTAAATCGTGACGAATTTTAAATATAGTACGAACACTTAAATAATAGAAATTAAACAGTATGAAAAATGATCACATATACAGTGCCACTCCGTGCACTCTGATTCCTCTCAAAGACAAAGATTAAATGCGGGGTTAATTTAACTAAAATACCGGCATCGATCTTAGTGAGCAGTCAGTTCAGAGTGGTCAGTTCAAAACATCTCAAACCAGGGATAATTCATAGAATCCGGAAAGTCCTATGGTTTCTTGTGATCCGTCCTCCTTTCTCAAAAGGTCTGGTCTGCTTTTTTCCTCCCTCTGGCAGGCTCCCTCACCTCTCGCTGGGGACGGAAACCTATTAAGATCTCCCAGGGGGAAAAAAGCCGAAGAAAAGGCGGTGGAATCCTCTAAGTGCAGTAATTAAAAAAAGATTTATTTCTTTAAAATACATAGATGCACTTACAAGACAGACGAGTTGTTCGAGCATAAAATCAGTGTTAGCTGTGAGCGGTGAAGACAGATCCTCCTTGACGCGTTTCGTGCTTTCACTTTTTCAAAAGGGGGAATCATGGGTGGCCTGGGTTCACACCATGCCCAGGCTCATTTCTAGTGGATGACCATATATCTTAGGGGTCTCCAGCAGTCAGATCTCCATGCCATAGTTCCTAGCTTTGTTCCTGCCCATCTTAGAGTGTTGGGTTTTCCCAATAATTTCATAAGATTAATTATAAATGTGACAAGGACAGTGGGATCTACTCAGAATGGCTGTTGCAGGTATGGAGAGCAAAGCACTTCATTAGAGAACTATAAAACAATTAGATAGTTTAAATACCAAGAAACTAAACATTAGTTTTGGGCGACTGACCCTCTGTGTATTTCATAAACAAGACAACAAATGACTTTTAGAAAGCTATCATGAGTTTTAAAGTCAGAGCAGAGATGTTAGATACTCACCATAGAGACTGCATGACTTTGCAGCAAGCCCACAGTAAAGATCAGGAGGGACAGCATCTTGTTCCTTTCTTGGTCCTGACTGCTGTCCTTGTCTTGTGCTGGGACGGTGCCATACTGCTTCTTTTCAAAGACACACACCCTGTTTTGTTCCTGGATCTTGAGAAATCACTCTGTTGACATAGGTGTAGTAATGTCCTTCCAAATCTGCATATGAAATCTCTGTACAGTAAAGGAATGTAAATGGGTGCCTTAACCCATAACATGTTTGGTAATTGTCACCGATTGTTTCCTGGAATACAACCTGAGAGATTAGAAAAGATACAAATAACAGGAGGGACACAGGCATGTGAATGGAGAAAAACCTATAAAATAAAGAGACATTCCCAGCTTTTAAATGGAAAATGACCAATGAAAAAGAGTACATTGACACCGTACATTCAACGCCTGAAAATTGTCTTTCACGCACAAATTTTTACCATGAACAATTCTTTTACATGTGTTATACAGTTACCATACCCTAAAAAAAAATGATCTCACCCAAAAAGTACATCAGAATTAATGTTTTATTGTGAAAAAGGCTTCCTATATCTGCTACCCTTAATGTAGCTGTAGAGTCAAAACGTATCTTTTCTTGTTTTAGACCAAATATGGAAGGGTTCAAACTTCTATTTGCCCTGACTTTCTGTCTCAGTGATCATAGTGATTTCTCAGTGATAATGGTTACCAGGATAAAGGGGTGAATCTGCCCAGTGGGGAATCAGACAGCAATAGAGACTTGACAGGCTGTCTAACCCAGGGATCGGCAACCCCGACACCCCACTATGCTGAAACGAAAAATCCATCATGCCTCTGCTTCAGGGAGTCATGTGTGGGGCTGTCATAGTCTTGCAATGACTTATGGGACTTGTAGTTCCACAACAGCTGGCGTGCTGAGGTTGCCTGCCTCTATTCAAAGCTTTAAAAGAAAATAGGCTTTACATATGCTTTTAGCATATGTGAAACCAATCACTAATTTCATACAAGCTTTTAACATGTTAAAGGAGAACTATGGGGTCAGGGCTTTTCCCCATAGTTCTCTTAAGGCTGGGTTCACCCCGCCCGGGCATATTTTTTCAGCTCGTTTTTCAGCTCGTTTTTCCGTTCAGTGAAACGCGCGTTTCACTGGTGGTATGATTTATTTTTTAGTTTTTTTCCTTATTTTCTCTATTTGAAAATGTTTTTTTTCACTTTCAAACTTCCTGCCGACGCGGCCGCTCACAAGGGACGGAACCTGGAAGTCGGCAGCCGCCGGAGGACACAGCGGGGATCACGGACAAGGTAAGACCTGTACGCTGTATTCCCGAGTGTGGCTCGGGGTTACCACACTCGGGAATACCAATGGAAACGCGCTGAAATACGCCCCAACGAAGCTCCTGTACTTCTTTGGGCGAAGGGCGTTTTTCAGCGCGTTCCTACGCACCGAAATACGCCCAGGTGGGAACCATGCCCATAGGCAATTATTGGTGTTCACATGTTGAGCGTTTTACAGCGCATAGTGACGCGCTGTAAAACGCCCAGGTGTGAACCAGGCCTAAGGGTCACGGGAGAACACAAATGTTTCCTTGTGACCCAAAGCTCAGTATACCGCATGCTGTAGCTCGCAGTATACTGAGACGCTGCAGCCGGAACGGATCCCAACATCGATGTCGAGATCCACCCAGCTGCGGGATTGGCCCAGCTCTGGATGGGCAGAGCCAGCTTTGCCCGTCCCTCCCCCATCCGTTCTGCCAGTCAGTGCTGGAGGATCGGACAGGGGAGGGGGGGGGGAATCCCTGCAGGGAGCCGTGAGTGACAGTCACGGCTCTCTGCACGGATAGATCGAGAAGTGAGCTTCCCGATCTACTGAGCCGACCTGTGACAGTTTCATTGTCACAGGTCGGCTCAGATTATGAGGCTGAGTGAAAATCACTCGCCTCATAATTCTCCTTTAATGTAATTTAAAAAGTAATTTTAATATTTTTAAATCTGCAGCTTTTATTAAAATAATGCCTGGCAATTAAGGTCCTTCCTCGATGCACATTGCGGAGACATGGGCTGTCGCTGTCAATATTAGGCCTCATTCACTCAGGCGTGCATGTCCATATGGGGTGCATGCCCATGCAGAGACCTGCTCACGGGAGGGAATGATGCAGCCTATAAATGCCTACAGCCACCTTTACATCCATATGAGAACCCGGCTGTATGCTGACCCAAACCTCCACATCCCCACAGGTCCGGGTGCACGCACTTAGACACAGACAGTTTGCATCCAAGTGCGTGCACATGGACCTGTATGGTTGTGCAGGTTCAGGTCAGCATGCATCTACATCCTGTCATAGGGAAGTACAGACGGCTACATGCAATTACAGGCTGCTCCATTCCCTTCCAGCACCAGGTATCTACACAGGCATGCATGCCGTATGGATGTGCACACCCGTGTAAATGAGACCTTAGGAAACCCTCCCTGACAAATGCTGAGCAGTAGCTGCTGAAAGGAATGCATGTACTTGCAGGAGATCTGCATAGTGCACTGATCGAGCATTAAAATGCTGGGGCGTCCCGAGGCTGGGTGTCAGCCAGAGCAGAGAACATGTGATACCCCGCCATGACGTTATCTCGCCACGTCATTTCCTTGTTGCTTGTCTAATTGAGGCCTGCCGGCGGCCATCTTGGTGATGGATGCAGGAGATCTGCATAGTGCACTGATCGAGCATTCAAATGCTGGGGCGTCCCGAGGCCGGGTGTCACCCAGAGCGGAGAACATGTGATACCCCGCCGTGACGTTATATCGCCACGCCATTTCCTTGTTGCTTGTCTAATTGAGGCCTGCCGGCGGCCATCTTGGTGGTGGATGCCGGCAGATAGAGGAGGGGACCTTCACCCAGCAGGTGAATGCCGCCAGGTCTCCTTCTTTCTTCTGACACTGTCGGGCTCTCGGCCCATTACCAAGTGCCCAACTTTTTAGAGCGGGTGTCACCCAGGTGCGGGCCGCACCCCCCGCAACACCCTTGTGACGCCACTGTTCAAATGTATTCAGATCTGTCTGTCTGTCTGTCTATCTATCTAGTAGACATGTAAGCTGAGGAGAAATTCGGTTTGGGTTATTTCAGGATTCAGATCCGAAATTCAATTCATTTCGGGTTTTGGATTCGGACGAAATCAGAATTTTCGTTATTTTCGGATGAGTTACGAATATTCGTTGCGAATACCACAGAAAACCATATACAGATATTAATACTAAAGCTGAATGTCCCAGACCCAATGGCAATTCGGAAATTTGGATCCCGAATGCCATTCGGGTCTGGGAGCCAAAAACATACTGTATATTATTAAAGCTGAGGCTCCCAGACCCGAATGGCATTTCTACACAGTGCGCTGCAACACACCCAACACACCTCCAAGATAGCGCCAGACCAGCTCAGAAATGCTTATGCTCTGTAACGTTGCATTGTGTGGACTTTTTTTTAATGTGTCAAAATGAATGGGCTGCCTATAGCAATGTGCCTCAAGTCACAAAAACATGTATGTTGCACTGTACCATGTTCTGGAATAAAAGTACTTTAAATGCAAGTAAAGGCAAAAAAGCACATTACTACATGTGCTGTATAAGTATGACATTAATGGTCCTTAGACACACTGGGAGCGGGGGATTTATCAAAACTGGAGCAAACAGAATCTGGAGCAGTTTCCCATGGCAACCAATCAGCATCTCTCTTCAGTTTGCTCAGGCAAGATTTGAAAACGAGAGAGAGAAGTTGATTGGCTGCAGTGCAAATCTGCTCCAGATTTTGTCTTTTCCAGTTTTGGTAAATTCCCCCCACTGTATTATCCTAATTTGCAGACTCTGCCGTTCATCCTCCTTACCCGCCACAGATTTACATCATACACAAAAAAATCCTACATGTGTTTTTTTCTTAATAAATATACCTCTTACAGTATTAATATGCTAACATTTAAGTATATTTTAAATAGTACACTTTCGATAACTTCATACAAGTGAAGAATATATATTTGCAGACAGGTAGTTCTTTTAAGTCAGAATTCAAGGTTAATGATGTGCTGTGTGCTTTCTTTGGAAATTCCGGTTAGTAAAATGATAGGAGCTCCTGGACATGAAAGATTTATCAGAACTGTTGGCTTGTGTTCCACATGTAACCTGTTCGGGCTTTTGATGCAATGACAAAGAGCTGTGGAGTGCAGAAAATAGTAGCCAACATTCTTAAAGTGGATGTATAGTTCAAATTATTATTTTTTTTTAGTTTTGGATAGAGTAGGGAAGAGTTAATACCCTGACAGTTTATTTTTTGCTACCTGTGCCCCATTGGGGAGATTTCACTCCACTTTCTGTCTTGGAGATGCAACAGGAAATCTCTACAAACTTAGAATTCCCATCTTAAGGTGGCCATACACTAGTAGATTTCCGAATGAACTTTTGTGGAAAAGCTCTTTCTTTTGACTTTCTATTAGTTTATAGAAAGTCAAGAACAGGATGGAAATTTTTCTCGAACGAACAAATTTCTAACAGTGAGTGAGGTTTCATTTTGGAAACTCCATTCTTTCCAAAATCAAATGTTAAAAATCAAACAAAATTTTCATCGACATTCGCCAAGTGTCCGATGGCATTGTTGGGTGGTAAAGAAAGAGCTTTTATTTGGAAATCTTCTAGTGTATGGCCAGCTTTAGTTGTCAACAGTGCAGGTGTCCCCATTGAATATTTACCATCATCTCTCGTTCTAGAAACTACTAGCGGGGCTATACTTCACGGTGCCACGCACAGTCAGGAAGTGCAGAAGTTTTACTCACATCGTGTGAGCGGCCGGTTTTATCGTTTTAAATTGTAAGTGGCTACGTTTTTTGTTTCAATAAATCTTTATCGACTATACCATGAGGAGTTCTTGTTCCTTTATATTTTTCCAATAAACTAACGATCCGTGGGATAAGGACGAGACGGCTGGGAGACAATCGACTGTCTCTCTCTGCCTATAAACATCTGTGGTCTCTGTATAATGATTATACAGCAATACAGAATAGCACCAACT